TATGACACTGTTATCCAAATTATACAAAGAGCTCTCCTTTTTAATGAAGTATTTTTTTAAACTTTTGAGTTTTTTAAAGAATTCTTTAAACAATATAGGAAGGAAATCTAACAATCTGTTTGGAAAATGGGCAAAAGTGCCAGTGAGATGGCTCAGCAGGTAAAGATGCTACCGCCAAGCCTGACTGCCTGTGTTTGATTTCCAGAGTCCATGTGGTGGAAGGAGAGAATAGTCTCTATGAGCATGCGAACACATGCACCCACCACTCCTTCCCCATAAAATAAATAAATAAATAAATAAATAAATAAATAAATAAATAATAAAAGAATGAAAATAAGCAAAAAAATTAGAATAGACACATCACTCCTGAAAGACAATGTACAGGTGACGTGTAAGACTATGGTCACACAGCACATCATTAGAGAATTGCAAATTAAATGAGGCGATACCCCCACATACTTATTAGAATGGGCTGAATCCAGAACACTGGCAATCAGTAAATTTTGCAAGGATATGGCTGGCCGACAGGCATAATAAGCAAAAAAATTAGAATAGACACATCACTCCTGAAAGACAATGTACAGGTGACGTGTAAGACTATGGTCACACAGCACATCATTAGAGAATTGCAAATTAAATGAGGCGATACCCCCACATACTTATTAGAATGGGCTGAATCCAGAACACTGGCAATCAGTAAATTTTGCAAGGATATGGCTGGCCGACAGGCATTTTCACTCACTGCTGATGAGAATGTAAAATGGTACAGCTATTTTGAGAATAATTTGATGGATTCTTAGTAAACTAACCATATTCCTCACATGATCAATTGATTGGTTTGATAGTATTTAGTCAAATGAATTGAAAATATGCAAAAAGTTATATATGTATGTCTATGGTATTCAAAATTTCCCAAGCTTAGAAACAGCCAAGATATCTTTCAATAGGTGATGGATAAACTGTGCTACAGCCCCACAATCACGCAATATTGCTGAGCAGTGTTTGAAAATGGGAAGGGTGGTGAAGTGGCTTAGTTAATAAAATGCTAGACCAGCATGCATGAATCCATGGGCTCGATTCTCAGCACTGCATAAACTGGGTGTGGTGACCCAAGCGCATATTTGCAGTGCCACTTACCATGGGCTATTATAGGGTAAGATTACCTGCACAGGGAGACTGAAGAAAACAACCTTAAGAAAGGGGTGCTGGAGTTAGTCTCGGTTAGAGAACTGTCACATTCACAAAAACTCTTTCCAAAGCCCTGAAAAGTTGAAGACGAGGCATGTTTGCTAGAGCAAGGAGCACGGCTGGATGTGAGCACAGATCACTGGGTTCAGCATTAGGAGCTGCAGTGAAAGATGGAAAAGCAGTGCTAGTGAGACACTCACACGGACACTGGCAGAAACTGAGTCAGGGCTTTTCAGACTGTGAAGGGCAACTTGCACCACCAGCTGGACTTCATTCCTCTGACAGCGCCCTCCGTAATAACCTAGCATTTATAGAGCATGTGTGTGGCAAACACTGGGCTGATGGACGTGCACACCAAGGCTTCCCTCCTCACCACATCCCTAACATAGGTGCTATTTTATCTTATTTTACATATTGAAGATTTAAACGACTTGTTTACTCAGCTGGTGAAGATTTTCTCTAGCCTTTTTTCACTGTTTTGAGGATTTGGGTTTGGTTCTTGTTTTGAGCCAGGGTCTCATGTAGTCCAGGCTGGCCTTGAAGTTGCAGGTAGGTTTTGTAATCCTCTAACAAACTCCTTGTGTTGAATTACAGGCATGTGCCACCGTGTCTGGTTTATGAGGTGCTGGAGACTGAACCCAGGACCTGTGGCATGCTGGACAAGCACTCAACCAGCTAAGCTATACCTCAGTCCTATTTTTTCTTTATTTTTTCCTAATCACTATGACTATTAAGAATCATTTGCCTCAAGTAACAGCAACAACAACCAAACACAAAAACCGCAGAAGCAATGATCATAAGTCTGTGCACCCACAGACTCCAGAGAGGCGAGACTATCTTCAGGGCACCAGGCTCTTTCTCTTG